CAAGCAATGGTCTTGGCTTAATGGTTAGATACATATTTAGTTTCTTAAGTGACCAAAGTTTGAATCTTTTTTGGCTCAATTTACTTTCCTTTTTTTTCCTTTCAACTAGAGGGTGACACATGTCACTCTTCGACTAGTGAAAATAAATATATTAAATTAAAATAAAGCTAGTCCTCCAATCGAATGGTGATACTGAAAAGACATGTGGCACCATTCGATTGGAAGATTAAATTTATTTTAATTTATTAAAAGTAAGACTATATTAAGAGAATATGTAAATAACAGAGACCAAATGTGTGATTATATTAAAATATTTAACTGATGTTAACGATAGTTAACTCGATGTGATCACATCTTAATTAAATAAAAATGAAAGTGATCGTATATTATATTTTTTGAAATAAATGATCAAAATTAAACAAAACACAAACATAAATAATTGTCCGTGTAATCAAGTTATATTAAATTTTATCACAATGATTTAATTTGATTATTTTTAATTAATTTAAATTATAATAAATTGAAATGATTCGGCTATAAAAATCCACTGGTTTCTAAGTACAAAAAGAGAATTAAAAGACATATGCAGTGTGGTCAACTCTTGAAATTCCGTTTCCCAATTTAATAAATACGGGTTAAACATCAAATTTAGGGTTAACATGTATGAAAACGACAACTGACAGTTAACGTAGTGACGATTATATTTAACGCTGTCCCCTCCCCAAAATTAACTATCCAAACCATTTCAATTTATTTATTTTAGTATTTTTAATTATAACTTTCTTTCCAGAAAATAGAAAGTTAATCCTACACTTAATTATTTATTGTGAATTAATTAACAAATTTTTAAAAAAAAAATTATTTTAAATATTATAAAAATTATATTTTGTTATATTAAATATTTATCATTATTGTAAAAAAATAGGATGAATGGGTCTTTTCAGTTGTACCAGACCTTATTATTTTACGGGTTCCTTCTATTTCAAAGAAACCAACTTACCTTTTCAAAAAAAATAGAGAATTAAAATATATATTATAAAGATATTAATTATAATATATACACATAAATGAGGATGTTTTAATAATTTTATATTTGAAATATTTTTAAAACAAATATTTTATAATATTTTAGATTTTACGTTTGAGTTGAAAATAAAAAATATTTGTTATTTATTATTTATAGTATAAAAACATTTTTGACTAAAAGTATTTTTCAACTAAAATGAATAACTAGGCTTTAGTCCCGTCACATATTTAAAGACACATTTGATGGAAATTGTATTTATTTCTCAAAATAACACTCATTTAATAACAACATTTTCTACATAAGTCTCCTTTGTAAAAATGAAAATATTTTTTAAAGACACATTTGATGGAAATTGTATTTCATACCTTGAGTTACCTTCGATATTGTTTTTCTAAATGAGTGGTTTATGTGTTTTAGATTCATATTGATTTTGAAATTTTATGAATGTTTTATTTTAGGGTTATATTACGTTAGTTTTAATAATTATCTTCTTATTCTAATGTTAGAGTGTAACATATCATACCCAATTAAGATGGTCCGATGTGATTATCAGATATCCTGTTAGTCACCAAATTGACTCACATACAAATTCATATTTTAGGGGTTTATTAAAACATGAATAAAAATTTAATTAATTAAACATCAAACATTTAAATAAAAAAACTAACCAAAAATACAAATTAATAGTATCAAATTATCAAAAAGCACTTATAATAGCCCAACATAAAATCTCATATCAATTAAAGTTTTTGAAGTCATTTTTAATTGATAATCTAATTCGATTAATGTTGGAGAATTTGATGATTCGGGGAAATTAATATCTCAATTTCAGTAAGTGTAGTCGTATGTTTGATGAATTGGTGTTATTTTGGTACATATCTCTGATAATATCACATTTAATTCATGTACGCATTTGAGTTCAATTAGAACATTGGAAGATGATTTTTTTTAAAGTAAGCTTGGTAAGTTTCTTTGCTTTGGGATTCAATTATATTATATGATATTTTAAAGCCCAAGTAATTATCTTTATAAGAATTATGTAAAAATGAACAAATTAAGTTGTGATGCGATAAGGAGTTATAAGCTCACATATGTTACTTGGTAAGCCAAGATAAGAATCTAATCTGATAAGTTAAAGATAAATATGATAGACATAGAGAGGTTGTGTATTTGGATTTCGATCCCGGTGAGATAGAAAGGTGTAAATTAAACAGGGGGCAGCAAGCGATGAAGGAAGGCGAAACAGCAAGCAAAACAACAACATTGTTTGTTCAGAATATTCCACCGAGATATCACTGGAGAGGTTTGAGGCAACTCTTTGGCAGGCATGGAGATGTGGTGAGTTCGTTCATAGCAAGGAAGAATGATAGAGAAGGAAAGCGTTTTGGCTTTGTCGGTTTCTCCAACAGGAAGGATGCAGATAGAGCAGCTCTTAGGTTGAATGGTTTTTGGATATTCGGATATCGGCTTACAGTCAAAGAAGCTAGATACAGAGATAAGAGACCAGGTAGGAAATTTTATACGACATCATACTTCAAATTTGTATCATCGTCGGAACAAGAAAAGAATAGTATAGATGGAGATAGCAAGGAGGAGATAGCAAGGAGGAGCAAGCCTTAAGGAGAAGCAAATGTGTTCAGGGGGAAGTAGATGATAATGTTGTATGTAAGCTTAAAAAATGCTTAGTAGGGATAATGGAGACAGTATGTTCTGCTAGTTAAGTGGAAGATAGATTATGGGCTGGAGGTTTAGGTGAAATAAGAACTAAATTCTTGGGAGGGAGAGACTTCTTGGTAGAAATTGATGACGATGAGTTACACAGGATACTGAAGGAGAGTAATTGGTCGTATCTGAAGGAAGTTTTCATCGATGTACAATACTGGACAGAATCATATAGATCGCCTCAAAGAATAACGTGGATCAAATTATATGGATTTCAGCTGCATTGTTGGAATCATGCTACGTATAAGAGGATAACAGAACAGTGGGGTAAATTCTTAGCGATGGGAGAAAACGCTTTGCAAGAGATGAGATGCGATGAGGTAACAATCCTCATTGCCACAGATAGGAAAGAATCAATCGATCATGTAATCGAGTTGGAAGCGGGTCGAAATGTGTTTAAAGTTAGAATTGTAGAGCAGATAATCGGCAACAGTGAAACGAGGATTCGAAAGAGAGATATAAAAGAGTTTCAGATGGCCGGTGATTCTTTGTCGTCGGCTGGAAAAAACAAGACTTCATCCGAGGAAGATACTACAGAAAGGTGTTTTGGGGAAGATGAAGTCCAATTATGTTGCATGGGAAACCTATCATGAGGTGGCTGCTTGTCGGGTAAGGATTTGGGAGAAAGGAATATTGGAGAAGAAATAATTATGGGGCTGAGAACGCATGATGTTGTCATTGAAAAGGTGCAGAGGCAAATAATGGGGAGGCTGAAAACGTGGAGAAAGCTGATGTTAATACTAGAAGGTTTTTAAATGATCATGTGTGTGTTAACGTGGAGGAGGGAGGAAATTATGGAGACTTATCTATTTGGGAGGGTAAATGTAATGATAGGAATTAAACTAGTTCATTCATCAAACTAGTTCATTTATTAAACTAACTCTTAAATAGGCACCTCCATGGCATTTTTACTTAGAACTTTTTGCATAATAAACTCTTTGAAAGGTTGCTTTCATTTTAGTTCTTGGATTATAACTCTATTGGTTTCTTGTCAGTCTTGAAGTCTTCCTCCATTTCATTTTATTATAACGTTGGTTCCTAGCTCACCTATAGCTAATGGGTCACGTTCCATCCTCTTCCACCTCGATTCCATCATATTATATTTTTTGTTCTTAGCTATATATAGCTAACGGGTCACAATCCATCCTTTGAATTTCTATCATCCTCCTCGCATACTACAACTATCCTTCACCATTTTCGTTACATCTATTCAATCGTTATCACCATCACATTTCTTTCATTTGCAAACCACTTCAAATCCATCCATATCCATATCCACATCCACATCCACATCCTTTTCATTTTCATTCTTTATTTGTTTATCTCATAGTCACAACATTAATTTTGCACTTTCAGAATCATTTCAAACACAATAGAGTTTCTTACTAGAATCATGATCAGACAACAACGTATATGACTCGAAACACATAATCGAGATCATATCATTATTCATGTGCAAACTTATTCTGATAAGGAGAATTGATGTTGTGCTTGAGAAACTTTCCATGTCTGCCCTCGTGTGGAATCCATTTCATAGTCGGTTTGGATTTTTCTCAATCATCTTAATGGAGAATGTGGACTTTAACCAACCTTGCTTATGAAGTGACTATGGAGATTTACAAAGAAATAGAAAAAGTCACGGTGCTTGTAAGTTTTGTTCTTTGATTGAGAATTGGTTATGTTAGATTTTTTTGGTTCATATGAGCTTAGATTTTATTTATACCTTAATGTGTTTATATGTTGTAAAGGTGTCCAGTGAGCAACTGCATCTTCGTAATGCATATATATTATTAATAAATTAAATTTTATTTTAAATAAATATTATTTTATAATTATCTTATTTTGTTAAAAAATATATAAAAAAATAATACTTTATTACTAGTAATATCACAATATAAACCCAAAATTTCATCCTGAAGTGAGGTGCGTGGTTTGGCGCGGGATAGGTTGGAATCCATTTTGCCCTGCGGCCTGTAGCCAATAGTGGACAACCCCTGCTATTTTCACTGTAGCCACTCTTATTGACTCCACAGTGGAAACAAAAAGGTAAATTTATATTCACAGTGCGGTAAAAATAAATAGAGATAAAAGTAATAGGCAAACTTTTTTTTTTTTTTTTTTTTTATTTCAGAGGAACGGGGAAGTCTTATATGAAGAAGGATCGAACGCCCCATTGAAACCAAAATCCAAAAAAAGAAAAATCATTTTGCAGATAGACAGACAGAAAGAGAGGAACATCACCCACAAAAAGAAAACTATGTCCACTCTCTCTTACTCCTCTTGTCTTCGTCTTCTTCTCTATTAATCAGGAAAAATGTTTCAATTTTTTTATTAAAAAATATAATTATTCTTTTGGGAAGGGGAAATGGAGTTTGAGGATCAAGAAGAGCAAGAAGAGGAGATGGGTTTGGCCCCGAGTTACGACTCGCTGGGTAACTCATCTAGAGTCAGAACGTCAGGTGTTGAACCGGGTTCAGTAACTTCAGCCGGTCAACAGCAGAGGAAGCCTAGTTATAGGGAGTGCTTGAAAAACCATGCCGTGGGGATCTGTGGTCAGGCTGTCGATGGTTGCGGTGAGTTCATGCCGGCTGGAACTGAAGGAACCCTCGACGCTCTCAAATGCGCTGCTTGTAACTGTCATCGTAACTTCCACCGTAAGGAATCGGAGCTTCCCACCACGGACCTCTACTTCCCCCAGCACCACCTCCACCACCAGCCTCCGCAATTCACGCCTTACTTTAGAGCACCAACAGGTTACCTCCACGTCGCTGGACATCAAAGGCCATTAGCTTTACCGTCAATCTCAGGAGGACACAGCAGGGAAGATCAAGAGGATGTTTCCAACCAAGGGAGCTCAAGGAAGAGATTCAGAACAAAGTTCACGCAGGAACAAAAGGATGAGATGTTGGCGTTGGCTGAGAGGTTAGGGTGGCGTCTTCAAAAACACGATGAAGAGATTGTTCAACACTTCTGCAACGAAACGGGGGTCAAAAGGCATGTTTTGAAAGTTTGGATGCATAATAACAAGCACACTCTTGGTAAGAAACCCTAGAAACAGCTTGTTCGTGTTATTGAGAGAGGAAACAAAAAAAATTGGCTAATTTTATGGGGATTTTATATATTAGGGTTGATGTCTGGGGTACTTTGATAGTGATTATGATGTTGGAGATGGATTATTAATAGTATTGTCAAATCTGATTTTAGATTAGGTTATTATGTAATGTTAATGGGAACTTGAATTTTAGTTCTAAATCTATTTTCTTTTTTGTTGCATTTCGAAATCTCTATTTTAACATTGAAATATGTTTAGATAATGGCGTTTTGAGGCAGAGTGGAGACATGCAATGCAATGCAAGTGGCCTGAAAATGGAAGATCCATAATTATCTCTCTCTCTCTCTCTCTCTCTCATATATATAAACATAAGATTGTTTGATTTCCTTTACGTGCGTATCTCCCTGCAGTTTACTCAGAGTTAATGTTCTTTTATATCAGTCTTTTTCTACTTAAAATCCTCAGCTACTATTGATTTATGTGATCGAGAAAAGTTTGAGAAAGGAAGGAGATATCAATGGGGGTGGTGGAGCTTAAAGTTTGAGGTATTATGGATGGCGTTATGGCATTTAAATGAATGTAGTTTTCTTTTTTTCTTGTTGTTTCAACAATTGGTAAGGCCTTTTTTTTGTCACAGTAGTTGGCTTTAGGGATTTAAATAGCGTTTGCGGTCATATTTTTAGTCGCGCAACGTTTATCGCGATTGCAGACATAACGGATGTCATCGCGGTCACTGTGGGTGTCGCAGTCATGAATTTTTTAAAATTTTGCATAACTTATCTTAAAATATAATAAAAATAATTATAATTATAAGGAATCGTTTTTATGATTTTTAGAATGTTTTCTAAGCGAAAATGATATATATATATATATTGATAATCAATATTTTTCAATTGCATTTTTAATAATAAATTTTGCAATTTGATCCATAAAGTTTCAAGATTTTTTAAAATAAACCCTCTTTAGACAATTAACAGTCAATTGATAATCAATATTTTTATTGACGTAACATGATAACATTAAAGACCACAGTTAAAAGAATAAAATGTTGAGGCTTTTTTGTGCTATTATTAATTCTTTCACTATTTAATGATCGATCACTAAATTAGTAAATATATATATAAATCATTTATTCCTTCAACTACAATCATTCATTGAATAAATTTATATAAGTATGTTTTTATATAAAATATTTTCACAAATATAGTAAATGTATTAAAATTTAGGGTAAAGTATATAAATAGTGCCTAAACTTTTAGAGCGCTTGTATTTTGATCACTCAACTTTTGAAACCTGAAATACAATTATCAAACTTTTTAATTCATTTTCCGTAAGATCTCTACCATTACCTCCCATTAGTTTTTGCTGATGTGGCATTTAACTCCCGTTAACCCCCTTCTCCTCCTCCCATAGTACTAAATTACGGTAAAAAACCGTTATGTAACACCGCAACACGCTATAAATTACTCCGCAACGCCGCAACAAAGTTTAAATTATCTGAAATATAAAATTACATAGATGAATTGTTCTAATTTAATTATTAAAATTGGATTATAAATATATATCATTAATAATATCGTAATAGTTATGTTTAAAATTAGTTACTTAAATTTGAATTATTTGAATTATTTATTAACGTTATTTTAAAATTAAATTAATTTAAATTTAAATTAAATTTTTCTCATATCTAAAATTGACATGATTAATTTTAAATTTTTATATTAACATTAAGTATCATAATTATCCATCAACCAACTGCTATTTTTCCTCTCTTCCTGGAAAACAAAATGTTTTGTGAATCTGTTTTGTTTTGTTGCATCGGTTATTGTTTCCATTTTTTGCATCTAATGTGTGTGTTTTTGTGGTGGTTTCTTATCGTGTTGCAACCTAAAGAATTTAGATAGCTCTATTGCTTGTGTTTTTTGTGGTCTTTGTATTTATGTGGTGATTATCAGTTATCCACTCTTAATAAATCAGGAGATAGGCAAAATCCATGCTCAAAGATATGTGTACGCAAACAGAGTTAGTAAAGCTAGGAAGCTCTCTCTTGGCTCCGAGTGTCCAAGAGTTGGCAAAGGAGCCATTGACAAAACTTCCACCTCGATACATAGGCACAGATGAAGATCTCCCGGTCATCTCCCACACAAATCTATTGCCACAACTTCCCGTTATCGATATGCAAAAGTTAATCTCCCAGGTATTTGTTTTCTCATTTGCTCAAAATTTTCACAGCCCAAAAATTCTTGAGCTTAAATTAAATTTTTATAGGGACATAACTGCAAAACTTTGGGGAATGTGGGGTAATTCTACGATCCTCCAATCAATCAAGGCCTTAGAGCCCAATTTTACCCTTTAACTTTGGCCTTAAATGATAAAAGAATGGAGAAAAAATAATAATAAAATGGAGCCTAGGAGGATATATGAACTCACATGCTAAAGCATGGTGTGTCATGCCTCTACCAACTAAGCTAGGTTACTATAGGTCATTTAAACATTCAAAATACCTTTTAAAATTTTCTTGATCAGACTTGAATCACCCAATCACCTTATCCGATTGGAAAAGCAATAAAGAAAAGCCAAAAACTTCCCAAGTTTTTTTAAGCTTCATCGTTGAAGCCCTGACCCATCGTCCTGACATGCACCACTCCTACCAGAGTGATCGCCATCATGTTCCAATCAAAACTCCGTTGGCCCCTTACCAAGAATCGACATCATTTTTCATGGAAAGAGCCACGAAACTTCATCAAAAAATATGTTGAGTAATCAAGAAATCTTCAAGATTTTGCACACATGCTTTTTATTCAATCACAAAAAAAATATGATTACAAGCCTCACGTTTTCTGCATCTTATATAGCAGCTTTACAAAGTTTTAAAAAGCTTCTTAACAACATTCGGTTATACTAACCAACTAGTTTCTAGATTATCTCTAGAACCGTCTCAACCATTCCATGCACGAGCATGCATGGGAGCATGCCTGGGACTGCTGCACAAATATGCAGTGCAGTAACTCTCAACATTCCCCCTGCTTCTTCTCGTCTTCAGCAATCAAACAAACTTTTAGCTTATCAAGAAAGCCGGTAAAGGTTGTCTTTGATAACGGCTTGGTCAAACCATCTGCAGCTTGATGAGCTGCTGGAACATAACTCGCACAGAGTTGGTTTGCATCAATTTTTTCTCGTACAAAATGTACATCTAAGTACACATGCTTGGACTACGAATGATACACTGGATTAGCAGTTAAGGCAATTTCACTTGTGTTATCACACCATATAGTTGGTTGCTTATCTTATGGTACCTTCAGGTCAGCAAGTAATGCATCCACCCACTCTACCTCTACTGCAACATCTGCAAGGCTCCTATATTCAATTTCCATAGTCGATCGTGATACCACCTTTTGCTTCTTTGCACTCCATGACACAAGATTTTCTCCAATAAAGACACAGTGACCGGATATAGATCGCCTATCATTAGCACAACCTCCCCAATCAGCGTCTGAGAAGGCTGACACTTGCAAATTTCCTGGTACAAAGCCAAGGCCATAATTTAGTGTCCCTGCCAAATAACGCAGAATGTGTTTGGCAGCTGAAAAATGTTGCTCATGAGGGACATGTATATACTGGGCCACCTTGTTCACACTGAAGGCAATATCAGACCTTGTGTGACACACATAGAGCAACCCTCCCACTAAACTGCGAAACTCTCGAGCATCAATAAGCAAGTGCCCTTCATCCTTATTCATTTTGAAGGAAGCAACCATCGGTGTGGTAGTGAATAAAGCCTTAATCATTCTTGCCTTCTCGAGCAGTTCTAAAATGTATTGTTTTTAACTAAGAACCAATAATCAATCACATCGTTTTACTTCGATTCCTAAGAAACAGTGTAACTCACCTAGATCTTTTAAGGAAAAATGATTCTTCAACAGCATAACCACATTCTCAATTCGATCTGATGACTGTCCTGTGACTATTATGTCATCAACGTAGACCAAAACATAGGTTGACACTCTATCATCTGTTAAAATGAACAGTGAAGCATCAGCTCTACAGTCTTTGAAACCAAGATGCAATAGACTTTCTTTTAACTTAGCATGCCAGTTTCGTGGTGCCTGGCGCAGACCATATAGGGATTTTTGTAGTTTGAAAACGAGCCTTCCACCCTCAGGAGTGTACTGCTCAAAGCCAAGTGGTTGTTACATGTATACATCTTCATTCAAGTCACCGTGGAGGAATACATTATTGACATCCACCTGCCTCAACGATCATCCTCCAAACACAGCAAGAGCAAGTATAACATTCAACGTGGAGAATCACACAACATGACTGAAGGTTTCCTTGAAATCATTCCCTAGTACCTGAGAATATCCTTTATCCACCAGACGCACTTTGTACCTTTGTACTGAACCATCTGAATTATGTTTTATTCTAAACATCCACTTACAACCAACAGTGGTTCGCCTCTTAGGTAGTTTTAAAAGCGACCACGTGCCATTATTTTGAAGTACAGTAAGTTCTGCATAAATAGTTACCCTCCACTATTTGGATTTCATAGCTTCATCAATCGACGTAGGAAGAGAATCATTCAAGGCGCTGACAAATACCTTGGGCTTAAAGATCCCACACTTGCTTCTTGTTAGCATGGGATGCTGATTTGTAGATGGTGTATTCTGCTCAGAAAAAGTCTGCATGTGCTCACTAGGTAAGCTTCAGGCACTGCAGGAGGTTGATGTGTAGGTTCAGTATTACTGGTTTCAGCTGTGCTACCTTGTACAGCTAAATTATCAGCATCGCCATGAACACTAGAATCTGCACCACCTTGAGCACTAGAATCTTCATGCACTTTTGAAGATGCGTGGGAATGCATCGAAGTGTCAGCCACAACCCTTGTGTTCACGCATTTAGACACAACCTGTAAGGGTGCTGATCGCCATGCACGAGTATCAGACACACATATAACTTGTTATTTTTCTACAAAAGGAAATACATCTGCATCAAATTTGACATGTCTTGAAATATACACTCGACCATCCTGAGCAAGGCAT